CGCTGGACCCCGGGCTCCCCATCCCCGGTACCCAGCGCTCCGCATCCCCGGTACCCAGCGCTCCACATCCCCGGTACCCAGCGCTCCCCATCCCCGCCCGGCCCTGGCAGTCCGTACCCCGCATCCCGCTCTGGGTGCGGGTTCCCCGGCTCTCCGCAGGGCCCCGGCGCTCCTCCCGGCGCTCTCCATCCCCGCTCGGCCCCTCCGCAGCCCCGGGGCCTCCATGCGGGCCGGGTGTCTCTCCGCAGGCGCGGGGGCCGTGCCGCAGGCGGGGCGGGGGCTCCGCCGAGGCCGCCCTGTCTCCCCCTCCCCGGGGCCGAGAGGGGCGGCCCCGCTCCCCCCGCTCCCCCCGCTGTCCCCGGGGGCGGAGGCGGGCGGGGGCCGGGCTGTGCCGGCGATGCCGGCGGTGTGGCAGGGCTCCCCGGCGGTGTGGCACGGCTCCCCGGTTGTCCCGCAGGGCTCCCCGGCGGTCCCGCAGCCCCGGGCCGGGATGGAGTGGCGGCGCGGCGGGCGGAGCGGGGCGGGCGGCCCCGGCCGCTCCTCCTCTGCGGGGCCATAGGCCGGGGCGGGCTCGGCGCGCCTGGGCGAGCGGTGCCGCCGCTCGCCAGCCCTCCCGCTCCGCTGGCCGGGCCGGGCCGGGCTGTCCCCGCCATGTGCTGCGCTCAGCTGCCGCTCCCATAGCCCTGCCGGCAGCGCGGCGCCTGGTGGGGCCCCTCGGGAACTTTGATGGCTTCTTTGAGGAGAGTCAAAGTCCTGCTGGTGTTAAACCTGATCGCCGTGGCCGGCTTCGTCCTCTTCCTGGCCAAGTGCAGACCCATCACGACCAAGAGCGGCGACTCCTTCCATGACATCCATCCCAGGGCAGAGGTGGCCAACTTGACAGCCCACGGCATCAGCTCCATCCAGGATGCGGTGCTGAAGAGGCTCTCGCTCCTAGAGGACATTGTCTACAGGCAGCTGAACGGTAAGAACGCTTCTCCTGCTCTCCAGTGCCTGGGGTAGGGTCGGCGCTGGTGAATCGAGGCTCGGAGCGGGTGCTCGCCTCGCCTGAAGTTTCCGTGCCGGACCCTGCTCTCCCCTCTGTTGTTGTGCCAACAGAGCCTCAATGGAATGAACAGATTTAACATCGGGGTTCCGAGCTCCGTGTGTGTCCAAAGCTCGGGTGCCTTGCACAGGATGGGAGGGAAGGGTGATGACAGAACGCTGCCTTTCAGATTTGTAAGTGTCAGAATTTGACAGCGGCAGGATTTCTGCATCAAACGAGCCGGCTGAGCAGGGCTTGGAGCAGTACAGGGTGCATGGATCGAGGGAATGGCTTTCACTCCCACAGAGCTGCGTTTGGAAAGGAGTTCTCAAATGGCTCAAGTGTGTTGCATCATTTGAGTGCAGAAGGTCAGAAAGCAGAAGACACTTTTCTCTACGAAGTTAAGCAAACTGTTCAGTATCTCCTATGGCTCAGCACTGACAACTGCTAATTAAAATCTCAAGTAATGCTTCTCTTTATAGCACAGAAAAGGGATTTCTATTAAAATCTCACCAGGTTCAGTAGTTCAGAGACGTAGAAAGGGAGTTTTAAAGATGCTGTGCAGGATAGAGAAACACATTGTAAAGATGTAAGAAATCTAGGTGAGGTATCTAATTAAAACACTCACAGTGGAAGCTGGTTTTTTTTAAGTTGTTCCCCACAGATTCACAACTGGGGGTGTAATTTCAATCAAGGGTCTTGCTTATTGCTTCCAATCCCTGTAGCTTTAATCCCTGCAAGTTTCTGTGCGTCGCAGTGAGCAGAGTTGGTGTTTCTGGCAGTGTCAGTGGGATTCCCTCTCCGAGTTTGGAATATGGAGCTTGTGCCCCATCCTGTGCTGAACCCAGAGCTGCTGTGTGTGTGCTGAGCCCAGATCTGCTGTGTGCTGTGTGTGTCCTGAACCCAGATCTGCTGTGTGTGTGCTGAACCCGGAGCTGCTGTGTGTGTGCTGAGCCCAGAGCTGCTGTGTCTGTCCTGAACCCAGAGCTGCTGTGTGTGTGCTGAGCCCAGATCTGCTGTGTCTGTCCTGAACCCAGATCTGCTGTGTGTGTGCTGAACCCAGATCTGCTGTGTGTGTGCTGAACCCAGAGCTGCTGTGTGTGTGCTGAACCCAGATCTGCTGTGTGTGTGCTGAGCCCAGATCTGCTGTGTGTGTGCTGAGCCCAGAGCTGCTGTGTGTGTGCTGAGCCCAGATCTGCTGTGTCTGTCCTGAACCCAGATCTGCTGTGTCTGTCCTGAACCCAGATCTGCTGTGTCTCTGCTGAACCCAGATCTGCTGTGTCTCTGCTGAACCCAGAGCTGCTGTGTGTGTGCTGAGCCCAGATCTGCTGTGTGTGTGCTGAGCCCAGAGCTGCTGTGTCTGTCCTGAACCCAGAGCTGCTGTGTCTGTCCTGAACCCAGAGCTGCTGTGTCTGTGCTGAACCCAGAGCTGCTGTGTCTCTGCTGAGCCCAGAGCTGCTGTGTGCTGTCTGTGCTGTCACCCAGCTGTAGCTGCTGTCACCCAGGGGCAGAGGCAGGTCCAGGGATGCTGTGTGCCTTTCCTGGAGCACTTGGCTCGGGCAGTGGCTTTGGGGACAGCACTGGGGCACTCAGCTGAGGAATCAAGTGTGACTGATATCCCTGCTTTGTCCACTTGCTGTGTAAACCTGTCCTGCCTGTGCCTGGCACCACGAGATGCTGAAGCAGCACTGGTGAGCAATAAACAGAGGAGAAATGTAAGAATAATGAGGAATAAGGTAGAAAGTTGAATGTTATTTGCAGTCAAACTGTGAATCTGCCTGCTCCTGGATGCTGCTGGGGCAGAAGTTTCCAGCAGGATGTAGCAGATATTTGGGCAATAGCTGCAGCTCGAGATGAGAGCCCGTGTTCCAGCAGTGGGCTGGGACAGGACAAGTGATCATGCAGCAGTGTGCCATCCCTGCAGACACAGCCTGAGCTGGGGTTATCCCTTCCTGCCCTTCTCTGGGGGTAAATGTGGGGCTCCCTGCTCTGCCCTGCCCGGGGGCTGCTCTTGGTGCTGGCTGGGGCTGCTGAGAGGAGCTCAGGGCCAGGGACAGCGCTGTCCCCAGGCTGCTGTGGGCTGGAGCCTGCTCAGTGCTGAGCAGCTCTCATGCACCTACACACCAGGGGGGGCAGAGAGGAAATGGATATGTTGGCATATCACAAACGCTTTCTCAGGGCAGGCAGAAAGCTGAGCACATAAATGTGACATCTTGTCTGGCCTCTGCGTCCTGGGGTGATTTATGGCAGCACTGATCGGTCTGGCTGAAAAATAGCTCTGGCACAGTGCTTATGTAACTTTGTGTTTAGTGTGGATTTGGTGCATGTGGTTTTGAGAGAAGCTCAGTGATCTGAGGGGTGGCTGTGGGCTGTGCTGGGACAGGGCTGGGGGTTACAGCAAGATGTGGGGGGCCAGGTGAGCCCCATCCCCACCCACCAGCACTGGAAACAGTCAGGGGCAGCCCCTGGGACTGAGGATGAGGAGCAGCTGGATTGGGCTTTCCTGCCAGGAATTTTCTGTGCCTGGATCAGCTTTTATCCTGGGCACTTGAGGAGCACCTGAAATCTCCTCCCTGCTGGGAGTGTGCAAACTGGAGCTCACCACTTCCCTTGGATTTTGGTGCGGGTGCCTCACAAACCCCACCTCAGCTCTGGGCTAAGCTCCCTGCACAAGCCCCCAGCCAGAGATGAGATTTCCCTTCTGGTTCTACAAGGTCACGTTTCATTTGAAATCTGAAATCTGGTTTAGCAGCTACAAAGCCATGGAATAAAGTATCCATGGGGTGGCAAGTGGAGCGCTGGCACCTCACAGAGCACTGGGAATGTTTGGCCAAAGAGAGAAGCTCCAGCCCGGTCTGAGTGCAGCCAGCTATGGATTTCTCCTGCATTATAGGACTTGGCTGGATTTCAGTGGGTGTTGAAGCCATCTTTAAAAACCTGAATGTCCTCAAAAGCTCCATTCTGTGCAGATGAAATGAGCAGTCTGCTCATACCATTGCAGTGGGTTTGGTTTGTGAGTCATGTAGTGTAAAGCATATTGGAAATAACAGCTCTCGGTGGTGCAGCAGCCCTCATGTTTTATGTGTGTGTATTTATTTATCTCTGTAAAGGTTGGCCATCAAAACAAGCTAAACACCACTGCTTTGGCTCTGGGAAAGGAGGGATTTGACACAATTCTCCTGTCTGAGTGGTGTTTCTCTGCCATGGCATTCTGGAAATAACACCAGGCTCCTTCTTACTCCTCTCTGGGCAAGAAGAGCTGTCCCAGAGGTGGCCCAACCTGTACATTTGCTTTGTTCTTTCTAGAGGTTGATTATTGCTCTTTAACTCGCTGCCCAGGTTGTGTGGGGTTTGCTCATCTCTAATTAATGAATTAATGAATTAATTAATGGCTCTCACACACAGAGGTCTGAGGGGGCCCTTTGGAAGGGAGAGCTTTGTGTGTGCAGGACTGATCTGGGAGTTCTGAGGGGTTTTAATTTCTCCTGTCTCTTTTATGGATGGAATTCTCTTGTCCAGCAGATGTCCAGGGAAAGGTAATGAAGGTCAGAAAGGAACGTGTGTATTTTACTCTGGGTGTTAACTACAAGTTCTCTTTTTGATCCAAGTCTGGTTTCTGTGTGCTGACATTTACATAAGTACAAATTGTGATCCAGATTATTTCCAGTTTCTTGGAGATTTGCACAAATGAACTTCTCAGTTTGCAAAGAGGGGGTTTCTGTGCTGTGTGACCAGGTGAGGAGCAGAAGGGAGCAGAGATGCAGAAGGGAGCACTCAGCATGTTCTGGAGCTGTGTTCTGCATCCTGGGAAATACTGGGTAAAGTCTTCCCATCAGCTCATCCCATTCCTCTGGGGCTAATGCAGGAACCCACTGATGGCCATGAGGAATTTGAGAAACTGGGCATTTACAGGAGCAGAGACAGCAAAGGTGGGCCAAGCTTTTAACGTGGCAGTGGCTGGGGGGCGAGTGAAGGGCTGGAGGAGAGCTGGTGTTTGTGTCCAGTGCCCAGAGGTGCTGTGAGACTCTCCCACTGGGGTGGGGCACTAAATGGTGCTGCCTTTGGAAAATAAACATTGCAGGAGGGAGAGAACTCTCAGTAAACCCCGGGGTTGGGTGTGGGGAGCCATCCCCTGTGCCTGCCATGGCTGAGCACGTGGAAAAGATGTGAGCAGATGAGCTGTGCTGCTCACTGGGGAGCTGAGGAGCCTCCCAGGCAGGCTCTGTGTCCAGCAGAGCTCTGGCTCCTGGTCTGAAGCCTCGAAGCAGTGTGCAGGCTGGAAAGTCTCTCTCTGGTGGATTCACAGCAGCCAACTCCAGTAAGTGCTCCAGGAGCGATGTGGCACTACCTGAGCCACATCCAAAATAGTATAAAAAGTCTGAACTGCAAACTAAATACCTGTAAGACAGAGAACAGAAGGGCATTGCTGACTCATCCAGAGCTCTTCTGTTAAATTCTGTTTTGTGGTCTCTCAACAGGTCATGGGATCACAGGATGGTTTGGGTTGGAAGGGACCCTAAAGCCCACCCAGTTCCAGCCCTCTGCCCTGGGCAGGGACACCTTCCTCTGTCCCAGGGTGCTCCAAGCCCCATCCAGCCTGATGTATGAGATCAGGGAGAATAAAAGCTATTTGCAAATTGCTGTAGAAGAGAGAGCAGTGATGAAAGAGTGCTGAAGTGAAGCTGGCCAGAAAAGGGGTGAACAGAGAGGGCTTCTTCCCCTGTGCTAAAGAAATGCACAGATTAAACTGCTGCTTTTACCAATTGTTAATGTTGAGAAGGAACTTTACATTCCTTGGGGGTGAAATAAGCCTGTGTTCATTTTTTAAGGCAGCCTGCATCTGTGCTTTAGCACATGGAATAGTGTGAACATGCTGAGGTATGGCCAAGTGCGTGCCAGCAGCCTCCTGTGCTCTGGCTGTGCTCTCATCTGCTTATCCA